TATTGTTGCTCATTGTGATGTCGATTGAATCTGTAATTGGAGTATTGTTTAAAATAAGCATTTTGTCTACGTCCATCAATTTGTAAATTATGTCTTTTAATAAGGTCATTTCCAATAATGCACGGTTGTGATAATTTTGGAACGACATAAACAGTGTGCGTTTTGGTACAATTTGCAATAGTAATTGGTAATGAGAGAACATATTGAACTTTTAATTGCGATTTATCAGCTAACTGTAAAATCAACCATGAAGGAGGATAACGAGCTCGTCGACGAAAATAATAAGGTAATTTAGCAAATAACTTTTTGTTTATAAGTGTTAAGGATGCTCCTGAATCGATAAGTAAACGTGTTGATAAACCAGCGATCTGTCCAAAAACGGTAAGGGGTTTATAGGTAGGGAAATTGATTACATGAACTTGTGCGAATGCTTGGACGGGATATTTTAATAACGAGCGCCGGTATCCCGTCGATCCACCGCTCTTCTGTCGTTTTTTGAATACGAATTTCCTTCACCACGTCGGTAATTCTTTGTACTACCTGTGGGACAATTTATAGCCACGTGACCCCACATTCCACAAGTGTAACATTTCATTGATTCTAATTGTTGGTTATTACCTATTTCAGCAGTTGTTTGTTTGTAATAATTTGTGGTTGGAAACGATCGATCATGATTCTTTTTATTAAATATTGTTCGTTGAACCGGAACTGTTCTATTATTTAACGAATATTCCGCATTCATATTTAATAGAGGTTTTGCATATTCATTCATTACTTTATCTTGGGGTTTACCAACATTTGACGTATCATTTTGAAATGAAGTTTGGTTTAAATATTTTAGTCGGCGTTCTTCTTTTTTACGACGATATAAAACTTCTTCCACCTTCTGAGCTTCCATAATAATTTCATCTAACGTTGCACCGCGAGGTACTCCAATCATACTGAGTAAATCATTACGCATTTTGCAAAATAAATGTTTAACTAAGTCGACTTCAGTTTCTTTTGGTTTCTGTTCGGTCCACAACGCTCGTAAACGTATAACAAATTCATTAATTGTTTCATCTTCTTTTTGTTTACATTCGTACCATTCTTGTTCTTGTCGAGCACTACGAATTGGTGAATTAAATTGTGAGAGAAATGATTCGACGAATTCTGCCCATGTTTGGGGTTGACGACCTGAAACCTTCAATTGACAATACCAATCTAAAGCAGTATCTCGTAAAAATTGCGAGATACCAGTAAGCAACGTTGAACGATCCCAACCGTGTACGGTTTCTGCGTATTCCTGTATACGAACAAGAAATTGTTTTGGACGTTCAGAATGTTTTCCAGAAAAAGTTGGTATTGAAGAAGTTGGTGGTATTACGATTGCGTGAGGCATTAACGGCATGGCTGGGGGTCTCGGAACGTGAGCTACTATGTCCTTAACACAATCTGTTTGGAAAGGATTGTTTGACGACACTAACGTTGGAAGAAGTTGCTCATTATGAGTACTTCCGAATTCACGTGTAGTAAGTTGTGCTGGACGTTCTTCCTTTTTGAGTTCTTCCAGCTGCTGCAAGACTATCTTTAACAGTTGATGATATTCTTCAAGTTTCGTTAGTGTTTTAGCATGCCATTCTGTAGTCTCGGTTTGTATGGTGTCGATTCGACCTGATAGATCTTCGCGAAGCTTTATCGTAGCTGTTGACATCTCTTCATGTCGAGTAGTCTTCGTAGTGTTAATTTCCTTGAATTGATTTTCTAATTGTGTTACGCGTTCTGTAATACGTGCGCATGTCTCCAATACGTGATGAACAGCTTTTTCCACTGAAACTTTTTCAGTTGCGACTTTTTCGGTTGTCATCATTGTGATCGTATTTTTTCTTTTTCTTTTTTTTTTTTTTTAAATTAAGTAGCTGATCAGGATTGCTGCTATTGATCCTCTCCTGCCAGGGTCGCCAAATGTAACGGAAAATAATTCTAAGGGATAAGTAAATATATAAGTCTTGATAGGAGAGTTGATGTAAAACGTTCGGACAACGCTGAGACGTAATAGTTTATTGAATAATAATAATAATAATAATCAGTGACAACAGATGTATTGAGTGCACCTGGAAAAATACACACCAGATTCTGTTTTCGTGTATGTATAACTTCTGTATGTGCAGTACAGGTTCAGACTCTATTCCGTTTTCGAGTCTCTACTTGGATCAACTTCTGAGAACGTACGTTTTAATAGTTGCGAGTACGTCTCACTCTAACGGGACGCAGCGATCAACCTACTTCTACTCGTTCCACTTTCCTACTGCCTTCTACTCGTTATATCTAACTACCTCTCCCCATCTCAGCGAGAGAGAGGAAAAAAGAAAAAAGAAAAAGAGACAAAGAGAGAGAGAGAAATATGGAGAGTGATTCGAGGAAAGAACAAGGGAGAGAGAAATATGGAGAAAAATCCAAGGAGAAAGAGTGCCTGTTGAGAGGAAAGGGAACAGGAGGTAGGGGAGAAAAGATTACGTAGTATTGAAATGGATAAAAGGAGTGTCATTGGAAAGGGTGTCCGCCTATTCTCTCGGCACACACCTGCTATATGGAAACAAGCACACGCGCTATTTGCCGAACATCGATCATATTGAGATATTCCATGGCAAAATTGAGATTTCACTCGAACTAGCGACATACAAAATAATAGTAAGACGTGTAAAAGGCAATAAGGATCAAAGCTGTAAGGCTTAAAAGGAAGATTGCTCAATATTAGATGAATAGTAAACAAATAGATTCTAGAATTACCTGGATAGAACGAATATGAAACAACAAAGTACTGTTGAAACCATCATTTGCGTTGAAATGAGACAGAATAGTGGCGGCATCTATCTTTATATCTAATGAATATATAATGTTTTTCGCATTCGTCGAAAGTGCAGAAGTGCACGATGTGATCTTTTGATAAATAGAAATTGAATATTGTTGCAACACCCACCTAAGTACTTAATTTTTCTTCAAAAAAAGTAACCTTTAACGAAGAAAAAATCAAGATAAAAGTGACAAGCAATTGCTTTTGTGATACAAGTATTCAATAGGCTGGTGTCATTGTTCAAAATATGAGTATTGTTATTGTCAATCATTGACGCACCATGCAACAACGACTTAGAACAATTTCAAGGACGAATTTTGTTTTTAATATTTGTATTTTTATTATAAGCAGCTGACAGAAGTTCGTATCTTGATCAAATCAAAGTCACAATCTATAGCTAGTCACACTCAATTGTACTTTGCCTGTGTTCGTTGCATCTCAAGGATTTATTTGTTCGATTTTCATCTCTAAATCTCATTTTTGACATTAACATGTCTAGCTTAAGAAAAGATCTTCTATGAAAATGGTGGCGTAACTACGAATGAACTCATGTACAAGTTAAGATCCAAAAAAGTCACTATTAAGACATTTCTACTTCATTACGTAAAGTAGAAATATCTTACTAGTGGCTTTTTTGAATCTCAACTTCTGTATGGACTGCAGTATATTTTTTCGTCATGTTTTTACTCAACCCTCCACAAATGTAAAAATAACATATTTCATACATTATAGAGAAACCCCATCGATGTACAATCTGTGACACTGAGGTCGAGGAGAGCACTGTGTATATTCAAGTAGATATTAGGTGGAAAAATGAAAGTAAACTTTTCATCAATCTGAATGGTTGTAAATATAGTTCAAGGCATGCTGTCATAAAGGTTTTTGTTACGAATTCCAAGTAGAGTGAAGAATCTGCCAATCAACACTTAGTTTTGAAAACACGCGTGTAATTAAAAAAAAAAAAGCCTTTTGGTAAGACTTAGCCGATGAGTAGACAGACATAGCATATATTTGGAGCTGACTACATGCGCTCTATCGATGGATAAAAAGAAATTTTAAATTTGAACTAATAAATATTGATGACGAAGGGAAAATGTTTATCTAGTGATTTTTTGAATGGCTGAGCCTAGTAAAATGAGCATGCCATCCATATTGATGATCCATATTCACTCAAAATCTGTCTAAGTATTCGTCTATCTAAACTCCATCAACACCATAAGGACGAACGTCCCGAAACTCAGTTGTAGGTTTTTCAAGAAATCATACTTTCATAAGTAGTTCCCATTTTTTCCGGTCGAGAAAAGTTTTCAGAGCATTTACGAAATTAAAGCGCAAACTATATACAATGATGTATGTCATAAGATATTTTCTAACCGAAAAATTTTCTCAAAAAATGATGGACAAGAATCCCCTAGATGTTTTTTGGCAGAAAAATACTCGATTTTCTTAAACGCGATCTTGTTTTAATGACATGCAAACATTTGTCAGCAGAAGAAAGCCATTTCGAAGAACAAAAATTACAGGTATGTCTACAGTGTGAAAAATGCATTCGGGAAGGTCCTAATTTTCACTCCTATACTTAAACATTCTTGTTAGACTACGTTTCACAAAAAAAATTAAAAATCTACCGTTTTAACAGGATCATCCATAATAATTATATAAAGACATGTCTAGAGGGACCCTTTGTTAAATATGTTGTTTTCTTTCTCATTTGTAAAAAAGTAAAATTTTTTCGTTGAGGTCAATAGTGATACTCAACAAAGGACCTCTCTAGGCATGTTTTTATGGATATAAAGCTTGAACATGTCTCTATCATTGATAAAAAAAAGTGAGCTCGTTTGCTTGAGCCATAATGGAGATATTCATTTCTTTTTCGGTAGGGTGTCTTTTGTTATTTATGCAATACAAAAGTATGTAATAATCAGAGATTCACAAGTCAAGATATTACAACGTCTCGCTTCATCGAAGACAGTGGGAAGTACGATGAGATTTGACGATTTGATTCGTCTTTTGTCAATACTGTCCTTTTTCTTTTTAAGAATTCATTGAAATT